AGCACGCAGATGATGGGAGTTTAATCCAATCCACGTGTACGTCTCGTCTTGCGCTAAAAAAGAAGACGACAAATTGCCTTTCCTGGAGGATGAATGAATTGGCCCGCATAAATGAGTGCGTGTATGAAATGTCCATTAGAGGCCGTGCATCATATGGCCTACTAACTGCCGCCCGGGGAAAGCGGCGCCGTTGCTAAAAAACAAACGCGGAGTGGCCAAGGCAATGCTGATTGTTCACATTCGTCGGGGATCATGAACACGTGCGGCGAAACTTTGCCGCGTCCGTTGACGCGAGATGGCGATTTGGCTTGTCGCGGTGGCTGCGCTCAAGGGACTTGGCAGCATCTGCGCAAATGAAAACCCCGATTCGGCGTTTACCTGAACTCCAAGCAGAATTCATCGCAGCGAGCCGTGACAGTTGTTCCACTGGTAACCAATGTCTGGGATGTAATTTTTCTTTGTTGGCCTTAGGGTCTCCCAGCATCTCCAGCCAAAGCGATGCCGTGGCCCGTTTAAATGTGATCTGCACCGTTCGTTCCGCCGGCGATTACGCTTTTTCCTGCCGTGCGTCATCTGTACGTGCTTTGTGAGAAGCGGCTTAATGCCGGGTTGTCTAACGACGACACATCGGTACGCCCATCGATCGATACTGATTCATAAGCTAAGGATGCTTGCATCGATTAATAAAACTATTTTTTATTTTACCAGGTAAGGCCGGCTAAGCTATGTAGCTCTTTTTCAGAAGAGACCTGGCCACAAATGATAGCTCAACAAAGTGGCTCATCACGTGGAAATGTATAGCAGCCAAATACTCTAAACACATGTTTCTAAATGGGTATGAATAAGAGACGTTTTTTTTCTATTCGTGTGTGATCTGTGGGTTCATGTCACCCACTCCTGTAGCCACTGGAGGCGCTACCTTTCAATGGCATGTCAGTGAAAGATCTTGATTGTTGAATCAAATTGTGACACCAAAGAATTACTCGGGGGCGGGGAGGGGTGAGATCATTATACTCCATGTGGTCCATGCGTCCAGACCAGATGATTCACTTGTGGGTATCACCTGAGGTGGTACCACGTTGTGGGGTATCCTTATAGAAGAGCCGCTTTGCTCACTGGGTCCTTACCAGGTGAAACACAGCTTCGAGTGGTTCCAAGTTCTCTCTGTGGCCAACGACAGTGAATTACGTGACAACCATTTTACTCGCTCGTGTTATATTTGCCACTTTAGTTGGGTACCAAACGTCTGCTCTGGCCCAATGGACGATAGTCGCAATGTAGGAGAGGTCCTTCAGACTTAGTGCATTACTTTGGACCATTAAAAGTAAATTAAACAAATTATACAAATAACTACGGAGCTCACTCAAGTGCCCTTGGGAATTACTGTCATCGTTGCCAAAAAGATGAACCCCCCCCCCCCCCCGCAGTGAGAATTACAGCAAGTCACGGAGTACACTTATTTATGTAATTCTAACTGCAACGCACCCAGCACTGAAAACAGATGCCGCTAACTCAATTAGGTTTTCGCGTTTCATTTACTTCTGCGAGCCCATGTGGTTTTGTTTTCGCCACTTAACGTTGGTGCTGTGTACAGTAAGTGCATGCGCATGGCACCATTCCTGAAGATGGGAGCCAGAAAGGTGCACACACACACTTTTGCATTTTTTTTTCAACGCCGTTAACGTTTAATTAAACGCATTAACTATTACTTCGGTACATGCTTCCGTGGTACTCATTGCCGGTCACCGGTGCTTTGGAGCCTGTGCTCGTAATTTTTATACAGGAAAAAAAATCTATTTCCGTTCAGCTTTTAACGGGAAATGGTAAGTACTTTGTAAGTAATTTGTCCATTCAGTAATCGAGCTACAGCCCAATGAGGTTCCATCATCACCACCTTCACATAGGATATATGTTGCATTTGCTGACATGCAGAAAATTACTCGCAGAGCATTAACAAAGTGGTGCAGTGTCCTTTGTATTTTTTTTTACTTACCCTTATTGACACACGTGGTCTAGAGACGTGGAACCCATGGTACCAGGAGTTGATGGTATGAGGCTTGACTATGCAAGTCACTGTTACTGCGATGAATTGTTCTCTTAATTGTACACAGCTGTCGTAAAAAGAAGAGAAAAACTCCCCCCACCCCACCCCAATCGGAGACTGTGAAATCCTTTTCCACGCGCCCTCCTCCGTGGCACTTTCTTGCGGAGTTATGACCGCCGAAACGATCAAGGCCAAATTAATGAACTGGCAAATAAAGCCACTGAATTAGTGGCACGTTTTAGAGCTTTACAAATTAGCCCAATTTCCTCCCTCCCCACCACCACCCCCCTTCCAAATTGGCTGTTGCCCCTGAAAAACCGGTGACCCACCGTGACCCGTAATTCTGTAACATAATCTCTCGTTACTTTCACTGGAGGGGCTTACGTGCCTCATTTCGTGAAAAAAAAGTAAATAGTCGGGTAAACCCGATTTATAAGTCGACGAATCAATGAAGTGGATGAATTAAACATGTGCCCGATGTGAGCGTGGGCAATGCAAGGCTCCTGGCAAAAATATGTACGCATTTTGCCAGCTTCATAACAAAAAGGGGGCTTTGTCTGCATTCACTGAGGTGTAATGTTGGAATCGTGTTATCTTACCGTTTCCCAAGTGAACATGCTGGGTTCTTTTTTTTTTTTACAAAATGCAATCACGTTGTGTTTATCAATGGTGTTTTGTAACCTGGGTTGTGTTCATTTTTTTTGTTCAAATGAAAATTTATCCCAGCTTTAGTTTAACGTGCGTGTTGTTGTTTTTTTTTAAAGTGCAAAACATCTGACGATACATTTAACTCATTTTAAATCGTTTACCATTGATCACATTTAAATAATTCCGGTAAACGGAAGCATCAAAGGGCAATTTCGCATCGGCATTGCAGCGGAAAGCTGTTGTTTATATGACGCGGCAGTCCCTTATTAAGCGAAAAAGTTACGTTTGTAAATTTCGCACGAAGTGAGAATTTCTCTCGTGGCCGATTTACGCGGCAGCCCGTGGTGTGACGTGCCATGAACGGCACTAACCCCCAGAGGTGTGGACTCGAGTCATGTGACTTGGACTCGAGTCAGACTCGAGTCATGAATTTGATGACTTCAGACTCGACTTGGACTTGCATAACAATGACTTTGTCCCACCTCTGAGGTGTGGACTCGAGTCATGTGACTTGGACTCGAGTCAGACTCGAGTCATGAATTTGATGACTTCAGACTCGACTTGGACTTGCATAACAATGACTTTGTCCCACCTCTGCTAACCCCCCCCCCTCAACTCCTCCGCCTCCTCCACGGAGTTCCCCAGTGCTCCCGGTCACTTCTCGTGCCTCATCGGCGCTTGGCACCGCGCCCAATGGGGGCGGCAGTGTCGTGGGAAACGCCATTTTGGAGTGGCGCTAAAAAAATACAAAAAATGTGTCTCTCTTCCCAACTTCGCACTGCTCCCTCTCGTCCTCCCCTCTCAGTCCCTCGGGTCTCACGCCCCCATACTTCGCCAATATTAGCTCCACTGCCCGGTCGCCCACTACTCCTGCTCAAACCCACCCACCCACTAAACAACAACGACTTACATTTATGGGCCTAAAACGTAAGAAACGTCCCACCAACCCAGTCCGCTGCTTTTACCCCAAAAAGCCAGCGGATTGTCCGCTGTGTCGTAGAGCGGGGTTCCTCTTGTCATGCACGTCAAGTGTGTCCCCCGTGTGCTCCTTTCAGCATGCATGGGAATGGATATGTGGGGGAGCCGGCCTTTTCAAAACAAGTTCACCGCTTGCAAGGATTTTTTTTGTCTTTATGGACGGTTCACATGTACAGTTTGTCCTCGCATTTGGCTTATGTTTAGGAAAGGTCAAGCGTGCGTGTGTGTGTGCGTTTATCTTTGTTGGTGTGTATGTACGTGCGTCAGAATGTATATGTTTTTAAAAGTTGACGGTTGCTGTTTAAATATGCCCGGCTCATATTTTATATAATTAGTTTGTTTGCTTTACTTTTTATTTATGCAGCCTTTGATGAATGGGAGATCCGAAGTTTTAATAGTAGTAATTATTTGCCCTCCGTCTTAATACAGTATTTGTTGACATTTATTTGTGTTTATATATAAGACTTGTTTATTCACTCTTTGGCAATCAATTATCTTTTAAACTTGTGGGTTCAGGGGTCGCGTACGATCCCATGCATTACGTCTGCCGTATACGAATCGAGCGTAATCATTCCTCTCACGCACAAATGGTTACGTGTATCGTGAATTTATTTAATCAACTCATCGTTGCGCGCCCAAGACACATATCAAACACTTTCATGCCATCACATTCGCAGTGCGCGTAGCGTGGGTTGGCATTGAAATAGGGCTCCCTAGTACCATTTCCATCCTCTTGGTAACCACCTGGGCCTGTTCTTCCCGTGGAACCCGGTGCAGTTTCACCGCCTGTACACTCAGTGACTATGCCTATGGCATCTCCATGCCGTTGTAGGTGGCTGTCGTCAGTACAGCACGGCAAGTTGTACTAAATGACGCCTTTTCACGAAACAGTTTTTACTGCACTAAATCGCACAAGATTGTAAAAAAAAAAAACTAATGCCAGTCAGTTCTATAAAGGGGTAGTTGCAATCCTGAACAATACCGTGTTATGAAAAAAACAGAAATCGAATTTATTATATATAATATCTAGTAAAGCACAGTCCACAATAACACGAGATGAGTATGCAGGCTGAAGTAAGACCGAGGCGCGTGGGTAGCATCAAGAAGTATCCAGCAGAATCCCGCCTTACATGATGCTGCACCGAGGCAGCCGTACAACCTCCTACTCGCGCGACTTAGTTCTGATCCAATTCGCATCCGCCTTATAAAAATATGTCCAGTGCGCGTTGTGGAAACACGCGTGACAAGAGAACAGACAGCGCACCCGAGTTAAAAGAAACACAAAAACGATCGCTAACGGCCCGGCGCCCCCACCCGACCTTTCCGGCAGGAGCAAGTCGGCGAGCGTGGACTACATCCGCGAGCGGGAAAAGGCGCGAGGACACAGCCCGCTGGTGCGCAGCGCGTCCCTGCCGCCGCGCCACCTGCCCGGCGCGTACCGTTACGCCGGGGCCTCGAGCAGCCCGGCGCTCGCCGTGTCGCCCAACCCGGGACCCTCCAGCCCGGGCGAGGCGGCCCGCTCCGGGGCGCCGTTCCTCCGCGCGGGCACCCTCCCCGCCTTCCTGCTGCAGCAGGTAGGCGCGTGTTCGCTGCCACGCTGCGATATTTAGTTACGAATTATACACCGGTCCCACCTGATGACGGAGACTTGTGTTGCCTCCGAAACGTCGTGATTTTATTGTTTCATTTTTATAAATTTTAATTTTATTTTTTACCTACGTGACTTTACCGAAAGAACTAAGAGTATGAATCCTTGCAGTCACGAAAGCTTCAAATCTAGATGCAATACATTTTCCTACAATCAGCAACTTTGTTGAGCCATCGTTTGTGATAGCCAGGTCTCTTCTGTAAAATAGCTATTTAGTCCAGTGGGCCTTACCTGGTAAAATAGAAATATCTTCTTGGTTCTTTCGGTAAAGTCATAGAAATAGTTGTTAAAGTTTAATAGTTAGTTATAGTATGCTTGTTTTGATTATTGGTAAAGATTCGATTCACAAATTACAGTTGTTTCTTTTATGCTCTTGCCTGCATTCAGAATGTATCACTTGTCGAAGCATATAAGACTTGATTCTTGCATGCATGATTGAATGTCTGTTGGGAGCATAAAAAGGAATATCAATTCATGAGTCAATCCTTGTTTCTAGATGCATGAGGTTTGGTGCGTTGGCTAGGGCACTGTACTCCGAACACAGGCAACCTGAGTTTCGTTTCCAGGTCTCGGCTAGCATCAGTGGCCATAGTGATGATATCTGAACCAGTGCCGTGTGTGTCCCCGCCCCTCCTACCACCTTCAGCAACAGCCAGCGTGGCTAAGCATGTTCAAACGATCAACATGGCCGACTCGATACCGTGAGGCCTTCAACCCAGAAGCGGATTGACGTCGGGCTGTTAACAACCACCGCTGTGTATTGCATGCGTCGGTGATGAAGAGACCTACGCTGACGTTATTTCCATCTCGCTCGCAGATGAGGCCGTCCGTCATCACCTGCGCCCCGGGCGCGTCGACGCACCGCAGCAACGGGCGCCACGTTTCCAGGCCGATCTCCGCCTCCAATGGGCTGAGCGTGAGCCACCGCCGAGAGCCCAGTGGTGAGATGCGTGTGCCCGTGCACTCCCGTCTTGGAGACGTTCGGTTTTCTCTCTTCCGTGCCAAAGCCTTCGTCTATAACCGCAAACAATTATTGCTGCTGCTGTTCGAAGCGAAATCCTGGCTGTGGCACCCAGTTCTCTACTTCGCTGCGCTTGATAGAATTCAGCGTAAAGCAGTCGGATTGACTGATGATCCAGCAATCACTGAATTAGCAACTCCTATTCGCACGATTGGCTACGTACAGTGCGAACGAAGCTCAACATACACACATACAGAATTGACTACAATCACCCGCTCGGTTGCCGGCGGTCAGTCGCCCCCTCATAACACTATTGCTACAACCATGGTTACTATTTACGTGAACTACGCTCGTTGATTCCTCCACCCGTGTTGATGACTCCTACCAGACATTCACCGTTTCATCTCATCCATCCTGTGTTCAACCACGACAACACTTCTTTGCTGACCCGCCCATACGGGACGTTTGTGAAATAGAGCTTCATAGCTCATCGCATTCCTCCTCCAGTTTAAATCAAGATTCTGATCCCGACTTCGCTTTCTGCTTTTTTCCTCGCACCGTGCTCGACTTTGGAATTCCCTCCCCATCCGTCTCTTTCCCCAAGTTCTCACCACCGTTGCTCAATTCACGCGGCGACACGTCAACCCTTACCTAGTGCGCACATTCAACTGCGCCATTTGTTTCCGGCCGCTTAGGCCTCTTGGTGCCTTCGGCCCCGTGCTCAGCAAATGTGCTGAAAAATAAGCAAATAAAGCCCCAGAATGAATGGGGGGCGGGGGGCAGGCGGGGGGAGGGGGAGGTCACACGTTCTCATTCGTGCTCCTGTCTCTCGTGTCAAACTGCCGCCTATTCGAGTTCATTTCCATATTCTGCGCGTGACCCAGCGGAGAGGCAGCGCTAATCGGGAGGGCACACAAATTCATCTCGTGGGAAGGGAGGGAGAAAAAAAAGCCGTGATCTCCAACATGTAGATTTGCTGCAGGCCGTCGCGCGGCGTAATTGAATAACCTCGCGGGCGATTGAATATGGGTAAGGTTAATGCCGAGGCACATCCGGCCAGTGTGTAAACTCCCAAGTGGTCTTCCCAATAATTGGCGCGGCATGCGCTCTACGCAAGTTGTTAGGCTTATTTATTTATTTATTCGGCATGTTTTTAATTTGATGTAATCTGAAAGCGGCACCGCACCCATCTGCGTGTCTGAATCTGTCCAGGGCACCCTATAATTGTTGTACGTGTGGAAAACAAAAATCAATTGACCTCGGCTGGGAAAGGGCTTCCTTTAATTTTGTTGTGGGAGGGCACTTCCTTCCTGCCTTTGAGCTGGAAAAAAATTGCAACGAAGCTTCTCACAGCATTTCTACAAACATTCGGCATGGATCTGGGAGCTGGGAAAACTACACAGCTTGCTCTTACGCTGGCGTGAGACCAAAGTGGCATCATACAAAATTCACAAGATTGATTGTCTTTGTGCAAGTTAGGTTTTACTGATTGCTAAAAATAAGAACAATAACGGTGTAACTCTGCAATTACTTGCTGACGCCACTGCCGCTGAAAGGCCTTCCTCTGGAGGGAGCTCTAGAAAGCCCCTCCAGAGGGTATTTGGCCTACTCTTCCATCTTGGAAGTGGTGGGAGTGCCCACACTTTACGCCACCACACGCGACCTGCCGATCGACAGGGGTGGACAGAGGTGGGGATCATTCATTCAACGTCGGTCACAGACGGCCTCCGGTTTAGTACAATTGAAATCCATCCTGTGCCGGGCCCGTAGGAGGCCTGGGAGTGGAGATATTGGATCTCGTCCTGGAGGTAGCCCAAGGCAAGGTTGGACACAGCCAGCCACAATGTCAGTGTAGGCGAGGCTCAGGGCACTTTGGGGACCCGCAAGGCTCCCCGGAAGAGGGAGAAGTAGGAGGGGCCCTGAGGAAGACGTGGAGTGCTCGGATGAAGAGCTCCCACCCCCAAGAGAGTCACTGGTGTGCCCAGAGAGGATGGAGAATGCTCTTTCTCGGATGAGCCAAGCGCGGAAGAAGAGTCTTTCGCAAAGGCTCTTCCTGCCAGGGGACGCAAAGATGCTGAAGATGGGGGCCTATTGGATGGCCTCGGGGTGAAATCCCCGGGCCCCCTTCATCGGAGAGGATGCTCCATATCTCATCGGATTCCTCCTGGAGTCTAGATAAAGATTCTGATTCTGATAAGGGCAAGAAGCCACCTGTTTTTGTAAAAGCCGGTGGCCTCCAGGTTTGCGGGTGTGCCCATGGACCAGCACGTGCTGGATATGGTGAGAGCACGTGTGGGTTAAACCAGCTCCGGATTTCACGGTCCCCGAATCGGCGGAGTAGCCGTACGCGCTCGCAGGAGATCAGAAGGAAGCCCTGAAGGTGCTTCCACTGGTGGATGCTGCAGTGGTGAGCCGAATTATGCTACGACAAGCCTTCGGTCACAGCCAGGTTCGTCAACCTAGGCCTGGACAATGGGGTGCAGGATTTTCTGTTGAAGTCCAGGCGTTGGATATCTGGTTATGGCATGAGGCTTCTTCCTTGAGAGATCAAAGGCCCGGAGGAAGGCAGGGGCAGCTGCTGGTGCTGCATGGGGCAGCAAAGCAGATGGGAGAACTGCATCTTAAGCAGACAGGGGTTGGCTTCCTAGGTGCGGGAATGCTCGGGTGGAGAGGTATCAACTCCACTCGAAGAGCCACAGCGGGCCGGCAGGGCAGGAGATCCTCGAGCAGATGTGTGCAAAGCAGGAGTGTGGACCTCCCGGCAAACATTCTCGAGACACTGTAGGTGGGACACGTTGGTGTTCGAAGAGGGCAGGTTTGGGAGAGCTACCCTCTGAGCAGCCGTGCCTCTTAGAAGGGAAGTCCCGGCGTCGCGGTTCTAGCGGGGAAGCGAGAAAAATATATTTCCCCACCTCCGGCTAAGCTCTGTTGCGGCGTCAATTGCACCAAGCTGGAACGAGTTGGTGACCCAGCTGTGAAAACCGGGCTGAACGTGAGAGTATCAACAACCCTTGTGTTAGAAACTTGCCCATTTATATCTTGACTTGAAGCTTTCGTGACTGCAGGAATTCCTATTCTTTGGGTCGTTCGGTAAAGTCACGTAGATTGGTTAGACATTTCGATCGCAACGCAAGCGGTCGTCATCAGCCTGATGTTATTTTTGTTATTTTCTTTGAACGTGATATCGCCCATCCATCTCAACTGCCGCATCGAAAATCAAACCGGCGACCTCTCGGATTGCCAGGCCGGTGTGCTCGCCATTACACTTTATAGGGCAGCATCAATTAACGTTGTTCACGACGCTTGATTGACACCGCAGCGCTACCCTGTGCTCCAGTGCAAGTATTGTTTACAATCTTGGGTTGCGTCCCGGCCCCTGGATGTCGTTTCTTGCCGTGGTGGCCAAAGGCGGTCTTGTTTATTGGGAGAGCGTCAGGAAACGTAAGCTCCTCCGCGATCTTGTTTTGATGTTGCGTTCACCTCTCTTGCCGATTTACTCCCCACAAAAAATCCAGATGTTCCAAAAACAAAGCCGTCTCTATGACTTCTTGGTTAGTCAGCGTGCATGTGGGATCCATTTGTTAATAAGCCAACAGCTCCCCTGTGTGCCAGGGTGATAAAAACAAAATCCATCCAATGCAGCTCAATTCCTTAAAGGGGCAAGGCACGGTGGAAATAAAGGAGCCCTTCATGAGCACCAGCACAAGGAAACCTGGAGTGGAGTATTTAATCGTTTTGAGACGCTGGCACGGACGATTGGTTAGCGCCACTGGGGTTCGCAATACAAAGGTTGTTGGTTCGATTTCCTGGCATGACAGTTGAAAGAATGGGGCACATTTCTTAAATCCCACACGCGCACTCTGTCCACCCAACAGTGTAAGTGGGTTGACACCACATTTAGTAGATCGGCAGATCGCCATGTGGTGAATTAAAGTGTGGGTAGTTCCACCTCTTTTAAGGCTGCTGGCCAGCGTGGTAGAAGAGGCCAAAACTCTTCTGGAAGGGGCTTTCCAGAGCGCTCTGGAGTGGAGGCCCTTCTGTACGTATCTATGGATATTGAACTTTTTTCGTACCATACGTAGCCAACCACGCTAAATGGAGGTGCGTCGGGAAGGACAACAAACTAAACACGAAAGGCAGTTCTCAAGAAATGAGTTTTGAATCTGGATTTAAAAGTGCTCAGCTCCAGTGGCTTCGATTGATTTCTGTCCACGGCTAGCACCGGCTGTGGCATGAGAAAGGACTTTCAGGGCTGAACTTTTGCACCTTTACCTATTAATAGTTTTGGGGGCTGCATTTGGATCTGTAGCCTTCGAGACATGTTTATGTATAAGCACAAAGGGACAAATTCGGTTTTGTTTGTTTAAACCAGCCAGAGTAATATGCCGCATACTTGCACATTTGTGCGTTGCTTTGAAGTCTGTATTAATGTGGCCAAGAGACACGTCCTCCGCGGAGATGGAGTGATGATATCGGCCCATTTGCTCGCTGCTGCATGGCAGGTTCACGAGGGATGTAGACAGCTCGGAACAGCCTTCATCCAGCAATCGATTGAGCATGGCTGATGATAATGACGAGGAGGATGAATGCGAATGCAAATAGATTGTCTATTTTGTCGCATTGACAGTCGGCGCAGAAACGCCCGACCAAATCTTAACTATTCTCTTTGTTGCCAAGCAACCAACAACTCCCACATGCATTTGCGAGCATGCACAGTTTACAATCGGGCTTGCCAGGATCTGCCGTCTTCTCCTCGTGTGAGAACAAAATAATCACAATAGTATGGGCCCATGAAAACACGACCAGAGCCAGGCAAGTTTGGGAGCAAATGCATTCAGCCTGGAGGCACCCAATGTTTTTTTTTTTAAACATCCCAATGAAAACCCATCAGCTGTTGGCCACAGTGTGTTTTATACCGCGGGAAGGATTTAACAGTATAAATGACAGTACTCCGAGATATCGCCAAGCTGTAGGAAATTATGTTACAGGAATTATTTCGTTCCCCTTTGCCAACAACCGCTTGGCAATGGACGGACGAGCCGGCAGGAGAAAGAAGCCGCGTGTGGGACACGTCAAAGCCGCTGTTCTGTTGGAGAGTTGCGCCTCGCAGCAATCTGTCTCGCGATATGGGATTCTCGACAGGGTTGGCAGCGCTCCACTCAACAACAACATCCTTGGCTTGTGTATCTTGTGCGTGATATGTCTTACTTGGCCCGTACGAATGCATTACGACTTCCTGAGATATAACAAAATAATACGCTGAAAGTAAAGGGCACAAATGCAAAATTCATTGGGGCTCTAAACTTGACAGGTCATTACACATCATGACCGTGAAACACGGGCCAGAGATGATTTTAACTGAGCGTGACTATAATGACTGCTGCCAACAAAATCTATTTGTGCAATTAATCTTTATTTTGCTATATAACTTAAAAGCTTGTCGACCCAAAGTTGTTGTCGTGAGATTATGAACGGCCTATGAAAATAAGTCTGTCTGGTTTCCTGAGGTATCGTAGCACAGAGCCACATCACCAAGATATCTTGGGCTAAAATCTGGCCACCCACCCAAGTTCAAGGCATTAGTCCCGTCAGCAATAAATGCTCCAAGAACTAATTTTCAATTTAGTTTCCACGAAATTTGACAAGATTTTAACTACGACAATGCAGCGAATATTTGCAGGGTAATACAGCGGATGTGCCCCGAGCGTGGATAAACATGTCCGCTGAAGGGTCTAGTCAGTGAGGGTTCATGAAGGTGGAGGCAAGATAGACGTGGGAGCACACAAGTACAGTACAACAATGGGTTTTTTCCACACTGCGCTCAGGTGCCCACATTGTCGCCCCGCACCCTATCACACCTGCTACTCACGGTGTCGACCCATCCGAGCACTGTCCAAGCTCTACCCTCCGGGTCATTTGATTATCGCCAGTCGGGAAGCAAACTCACAACGGCGCACTGCTCCGGCTGCCACTCAACCGCGCCTCTCCGCCTCCCCCCTCCTCTCTCTCTCGCGGCAGCGTCCATGAGCTCGGACCCCGTGGTGGAGGAGCACTTCCGCCGCAGTCTGGGCCGCGACTACCGGGATCCGGCGGCCACGGTGACGGCAGTGGCGGCGGCCGGGGCGGCGTCGTGCCGTCCCGGCGACCCGACATCGGCCTCCAACCGCGTGTCGGTCACGGGCTCAGTGGACGATCACTTCATGCGAGCGCTGGGCGACACGTGGCTGCGGCTGCGCTCGCCGGGCAGCGGCAGCTCCGGCGACGACCGGAGTCCTCACCCGGCGTCGCCGCCGTTCCCCTTCTCGCCGCCGCTAACGCCGTCCGCGGCGGCGGCGGCCGCGGCGTCATCCCCACCGCCGCCGCCGCTGCTGCTGCTGCCGCCGCCTGCGGTTCGGTCCGAGTCCGGCGTTCGGGCCTACGGGGGGCAGACGGCGGCGGTATCGGTGTCGCCGCACCGTTCCAGCCACAGGGCGCCCTCTCCCCGCGTGCTGCTGTGAAGACCGCAACAACGAAATTCAAACGATGACAATAAAGAAACGGCCGTTCCGTCAGCGTTAAAGTCCCGGCAGGGGCATGAACTGTTGACCGAGTCCCCAGTGCACCGTGGGCCGTGTTCTCGGACTCCGTGGTACCGCACGTTTCTTCTCGTTATTTCCCTCGTTTCAGTTTTCTAAGTTTCCTTCCCGAGTTTGAAAATCACTCCCCGGCGAAACGCGCATGGAGGCCACCCGCACCGCATGAATAAAACGCTGCCACGGTCGGAATCTTAAATCCATGGAAATGTCTTTAAATCTGTCCTCCACTCACGCTCACCTTCCTTCACCGCTGACTCGCTTGTGGGAGATCGATGCGATTGGCGGAATTAGTTTTTTTTGATACTGGAACTTTTTTTTTTACATTCTGTACTCTCAAGTAAATAATTCTCTGGAATACTCGAGCACTCTATTATTTTTATGAAAATTGTCTGCAAGTTTCTTTTAGTTTTTGTATACATCCTGTTATGTTCAAGAGAGATTTGGATCTTTACGACCGAGACTTTTTTTCGTGGCGATGTTTAAAAATGTTTAAAAAGATGTTTAAAAACGTTAAATTTGATCGTCACACGATTTGAGTAAACAAAACGAAAACTACAACAGCAGTGGTCAAGTTTGAGCTTCAGAGGTGATTAAACGGCTTAAGAATATTTAATCATCCATTATGAAGAAAAAAAACCAAATCCGTTTTCATTACGGCTGTGCTTCGCAGCTCTCCGATGTGTTTTTGGGTCATACTGCCCGTTTGTTCCATTGCTGAAGAAGCTCTCAGCACGTGGCAGCAAAACGTCCGACACCAGTCCGAACAATGCGTGCGGCTCAAACCTGACAACGCACCGGAGAGTTGCACCATTTTTTGTTTAATTTGTTGTCAAAGGGATGCCTGAAAGAAACGCCGTTTGTACTGCCATCATAAAACGTGTGGTGGCCAATTGCCATCAGACCTCGTTGAGGTTTCGGAACTCTGTACATTTCATTGCATTAAGTGCGTGCTTGTGCTTTGGGTACTTTTGCACTAAAATAAGGTGGAGGTAAGTTATTAATGAGGACGTCTGTCGCATTTCAGAATGTTGTGTACTGCTTATACTGTCAGTTTGGATTGAATTGACGATGCTGGAATTGGTAACCGGCGGGAACTTCCAGTGTCTCACCTTGGCGTCTGGTGTTTGACACAGGTTAAAGTGCGTACTGCCATATACAGACTTTTAAACGAACCAAAACATATACATACGAGCCGATATTAGAACTAGAGCTGGGCGACCCAACTATTTCAATGATCCGCTACTCAATCACTGAAACAGTTGAGGAGAAGAAAAATGGTCACCTCCGGTCCATCAATGCCCCGCTGGACGGAAAGGTGACAGGCAAGGGGACTTTACGATGCCACCATTATTTTGTGGAGGGTCGCCATCTTTTCAAGGGGCCCCGGGTAAATTCGTCGATTATATTTTCGAGTCGATTAATTGGCCAAATTGACTTTGCGTCCCAGCTCCAGTTGTACGAACTCTATTGAAACTTCACTTCCAGCCTTCACTCCAAGTATTAGAAAGGGTAAAGATGTGGTCCATCATCCATCCAGTCCTCCGTTGGCACTGCCCCAACCCCGTGTCCAGATATTTCATCAGAATTTGGATGCCGCTTTTCAACTTTGCCGTTTTAACGCGCAGTGCGTGGATGTCAATTGATCTTTAAAATGACACACCCCCCGCCACCCCCTTTCTTCCTGGAAAGGTCACGCAAAGTAACTGAGGACTTCTTCCATTAGTCCCATTTTCATAGGCTTTAGGTTTGGTGTCGCGATATTGTCGTTATCTGTACCGTATTACACTTTTTATATATATATACCTACGTATTAATTTTCAAACTAATAGACAAACGTGAATGTGAGGCTGGAACGCGATCAAATAATGCTTCCGCCAGATTATCTCATTCATGCAGCCGTTTTTTTTATATATTTTGGGACCATTTTGTAAAAAAACGAACATTCCAACATCTGGGCCTCGCGATGCCGCAAGGACGGCCAAGCAGAGCTGCAGCCTTTGTCCCCGAAGCTTGAATGCATTTAATAGGCTGGATTTACCTACAGTTGCCCTTCGGTAACTTTTAATCCGTAAATCATTTATAGCATTTGTAAAATCGTTACGACTAGGCTGGTGACCAGCGTGTGGAGTTGATTTCCAAGTCTTGCGTTCCTGCTATGGACGCTTTTTACTTTCAGTCGAAATGTCATCGGTTCGGCTTCTGCTGTTTGACAACTGCAGGCATTTTAAAATAAATAATAATGTATGTGTTTTTTTGTTTGTTTGTTAAAGCAGCCTTGTAAACCTCTGGTCCTCGATGGGACCTCCAAGATCTTTTCGTTTTTGCGGCTGTTGTTGGGTTTGGGATAGCGGGCGCCTAGCATGGTTATTGTTGTTGGAATAATGGCTCTGTGTGGGCCGGGTTTGAGTTTGGTTAAGTTGGGGGGTGGGGCGCTGGATGGGTGTAATGGGTACAAATAATTAAAATAAAGAGCGGGGTGGGGGGCAAAATGTTGAACATTTCAAAAAAATACGAGGGGCTAAAAAGTTATGGTTTACATGGGCACAGCCACGTGTGTGTGCCTGGTTGCTGTCTCTTACAAATGTGCTGAATCCCATGCAACCCTTAGCTAATGCTGGACATGACGAAGCATTACTTAAACGTAAAGTTTTTATATAAATATACAAGTTTATATTGTTATCATAATTTGTTTTGTGGATTCATACCGAGGCACATGTAGTTTATTTTTTATTTTTAGACTTTAAAAAAGTATGGCTGTTTTTTTTAATCGCAAAAAAGAGAACTGTTATGAGAGAGTTGACTCTTTCTTGGTTGTCGGTCTTAATTGTACCCTTGGGGCAGTTATTCCTGAGTGCAGGAACAACAGAGAAAACTGGCTCATGGTCTACAGCTCGTGTAAAAAAACGCACGCTCGTATGCGATTCCTCCGTTCGTCGTCACAGCTCTTTTCCCACTTGCACAACCGAGCCGTGCTGCGGATGTGCCGAGCAAGCGCGGCGTGGTTCCGGGGAGCACGGGCTTTGCTTTTCCACTGCACAAAGCTGAGCCGTGCCGCTGACGCCGCTTACGATTCGTGATGCTAGGACGCATCCAGGTGACGTCGTGTCAACAGTTGTACCGACCGATGTCACGCGCGCTCGCACCGGTCATTAGCACCGCCCCAAACGTGGCTTGGCCCTGAGCCAGATTCAGATGTCTTGTGAGGCCACCGTAGCACGGTTTGGGTCTGTCCTGGCTCGGTGGAAAACCACCCGTCACCGTTCTGGCCCCCCGTGCTGGCATGTCTCGGATGAGCAAAGCGGAAGAGGGGAACTAGTTTAGCTTTTCAAGGGCAGCGAAATAGATTTGATTGAAATGTTGAGAGGTGCCCTGACAACACGCTTTCTTTGAAATAGTAATTGAGATGCAAATTCTGCCTTTCTTGATTATTGCTGTCGCTTTGTTAAGGGAGGGGTGTTGGTGGCAAAGGGTGCCTATTTTTGCCGATACATTTAATTTTTTACACAACGTAATTCTGGGGGGTTGGGGGGGGGGGGATCGAAATTGCATGTGACCTGCACATTTTCAAATATTCAAATAAAGCTCTGTGTGCGAGCGAGCGAACGCGGGTGATGCATCTGCTCGAAAAAAATCCAGACGACTCCACAAAGGGGGCACATGTCATAATTTCACATTGGGGCTCAATGGAGCCAGATTAGATATAAATGGGGAAAAAAATATATATAAATTTATTTTTGCCGGTTGCAGAAAAGCCTGGGTGCATTTACAATCACGTTAGCAAGGAAGCGCTACTCTAATGCTTGAATGTCTTCGGTCTTCATTGCGATTCGTTTTATTTTTTTACAAAATGTTGCTTTTTTTTAGTGCTTTGTACATGCAGGCATTATGAACAATAAAGCTCGGATACAAAGGTAACCCTGGTGCGGCACTCTGTGTGTGCGAGTGGAATTGCTGGGATGGTGTTGAGACCAGCGCACGCCTTCTTGAAACGCGTTCTCAATCAGTCTCTTTGCTGTGGTGGCTCTTTCAATTCAGGTGCGATGTTTACGAGTGGAAAAGTTGCAGGCAACGCAAAGTGAAGTCCACGATGTTCTTCATGCATGCTGATTCACAAATGGAAAAGTGTATGAAAGGTCAACACATTAGGGAAAGTACCCTTCTTGAGAGAAATGTTAATTTATCGATACTATTTATAAACCCTTCTTGAGAGAAATGTTAATTTATCGATACTATTTATAAACTACAGCCTTTTGTTAATCCACTGCTGAATGACCACACTTCACCATCGTAGAGGTCCGTGCAGGTTGCTGAAGGTGTGGTCCAAGACTGTCGGATGTCGCTCACCACTGACGTTAGCTGTGACTGGAAATCCAACTCAAGTTGGCCAGGTTCATCGTGCAGTGTGCTAACCACTGTGCCCAACGCTCCACCATGGAGAAACACGAGCCCATCTAGGGATGTCTCTGTTGCGAGAGAATGTTTGACGACGACGATGCTAATGACTGCGGTGAATTGTCACCCTCAATAATGCCTGTACACCACTGCCAAAACAGTCATTTGCGTTTGCTTCAAATTGAATTTGAGCAGTGTATTTAAGTAGCTCTGGTTGTTAATATGAATCGATGAACACACACACGAGAGGAGGGCGGAGTGGATGAGTCACCGTGGCACAACTCGAAAGAGAAAATGCCCGTGGAATGTTTCATTGCTTTTCTTCCAGAAATATTTAATACAAAATAATCCAACGGCGGCGCTACGTGGTTACGCAGTCCTCTTGTTTGCTGATGTTATTTAAGCGTATTTACCCCGTAGTCTTTAGCGTAAATGGATACTGGCGAGGGACATTCAACCACCATTTCAATATTTGCTCCGGGAAAATGGTCTGCTCAGAGCGGGCTCCGTGGGCCACCAATGCAAAAAAACCTTCCCCGGCGCGTTTTCAGGTTCTACCGTGCTTTAATCGGCGCGAAACGTCGGACATCGTGGCGCAACAATGAAAAACACGTGGGAGGGATGGAGACGGCACGGCGTGCGACATCACACGTGTGAATAAAAAAACATGGGCCATGATGATGCCAGGATGCGGTGGCGTGGCATTACAGCACACTTGGGAAAAACGCCCAACAAATGCCACCGCACACACACACGCAGGCGAGTGTGTGTGTGTGGCAGGCGAGTGTGTGTGTAAATTATTGTTGGCAACCTCGCATGCAAAATTCTTGCACTTGGCACTCAGCGCTCGGTGGTTTTTGGCACGGGGAGGGCAGCCCCTTCGCTACACCAAACGCATGTGGAAATACACATTTGCATCCTCATGATAGGGCTTTTTTTTCTATGAACTGTAGTTGTAAAGACAGCTTAAGCGACCTTTTGGAGTCCTCTTGGAAAGATGAACTCAATGAAAAGCAACAGCAATGTGCCTGAAGTAGAGAGGGTTTCATCAATTTATAATTTACCTGCCATAAGAAATATGCATGTATGTACGTTGAACTGATTTCGCAACGCACGTAGCCAACCCGACGAATCGGAGATGCAGGGGAAGGACAACAAACTAACACACGCAACAAAATTATTCTAAACAAATGTGTTTTCATTCTAGATTTAAAAGTACACAGCTCCAGTGGTTGCTTAATGTCGGAAGGAAGAGCGTTCCAGACGGCCGCAGAAGCACTTCTGAAAGTATGCGATGCGGTGACCGTCTTTGTTCGATGGCGAACAAAAAGCCGCCGTGAGGATAACCGGAGTTCATGGTGATGGTTTATGCTCCATGGCAAGATCAGCCAGGTAGCATGGTTCATTTGTAGAAAGCACTTTGTGTGTAATATGGACACTGACACAGAAAATGGAATATACAAATGAGGAGTGCACAGAGGCATTTTTGGAATATGGAAGAAACAGATGAAAAATGCGGGTCAGAGAAGAATTGCAAGTTTTTACCTAAAACTTCCGTGACCGCAGGAATTCATATTCTTTGGTTATTTCGGTAAAATCACGTAGATAGAAAAATAATAGTAATAAAAATAAAGTGAATAAAATAAATCTTCAGGAGGAAAGACGATCGCTTGTGTTGTGATCGAAACGTCGTGGTTTTTGTTTTAATTTATTTTTATTATTTTTATGCACTTCATTTTTATTATTATTTTTATTTTATTCACTTCATTTTTATTATACATTTTCTATTTACTTTACCAAAATGAACCAATGAATATGACATTTGCAAGCTGTAGACGTCGCATTAATTGATAAGAAAAGTGGGGCTTGAGTAGGAAAACTTCGCGAGCAGAGATGAAAGCTAATGGTCGAGACGAACGACAGTAGCAAAGTTGAGAACACGACCTCGAGGACATTCACCCTCGCGACGGAACGATGAAATATATCTCGTGCGCAGCTGCTCGATTTTTTTCATATTTTTTTTAATCCTTTATATTAAGTTCACTTGCTTGCTTGCTTGCGCGCTTACGACCGTGCAAATCTTTCGGTCGTTTTTTAACCCACTTCCTGTGATCCAATCGAGCTGACATTTTTCACACAGACTCGTTGTGCGTGACAATTTATTTTCGTAAAAAACTTTTTTCCAAAATTTTCCACTTTTTAGGATTTTTTTTTTCATATTTAATTTAAAATACCAATGTGATAAAAATGAAACTCTTACTCAAGAAAAACAAAAATTAATAATAAAATAAAACCGATGCCACGCATATAAAGGATTTATAGTGAAAAACCTTGTTTTTACGGGTTAATTTTTTTCATTTTTACAGCATCGCGAGCAATGCCAATGACTTGGTAACGGGGGCAGGTGGAGAGACACCCATGATCCTGACCGATGGTAGAAAGCAAATCTCCCTCCGCTTGTCCCACGCAGCAGGGTCCGCGCGTAAACAGCTGTGACCGCGCACGTGCTTAGCGGAATTCCTTTTGTTTTTGCAAACAACAGCAAGGTGGTGCCTGAGGCATGTGAGCCACCCCCACGGCATGCCTTAACAAACATTTGGGGCAAGTGCTGTTAGCCAGCACTTATGAAGGCCGGCACGGCACACGAGGGGGTGTGGGTGGCCAGCACCACGCCCGACGGCCTTTGTCTCCCGAGGTACGAAGTTTACACACGGCACCAGGTCCTCGTTTACGGCTGAGTCGACCCAGGGGAGGCCCAGGACCGGTGCAAATAATCGTCGCTGGCGTTGGCCGTGAGCGGCAATCGAACTCGGGTCGCCAAGTTCGTAGCGCGGCGCGCAAAACGTTGCGTTTCCGCTCCCCACAAGCACACAAACACACACAAACACACACACACAAACACACAAACACACATAAACACACACACAAACACACACACATAAACACACACACACACATAAACACACACACAAACACACAAGCACACACACAAACACACACACAAGCACGCACACATACAAGCACACACACACACAAGCACGCACACACACATAAACACACAACAACCGCCATTCGCCACTAAGTGGCGGTGACGTCACCACGATGCTTGTGCCAGGCCAAGTGCACCTTGAGGCCACGTGAAGTGTCGAAAGCCCGCTGGCAGGAGGTCACGGGGCAGACCCAGGTGCCACTGGTCGACTGACCGAGATGACCGAGATGACTGGCTGATGCACCACCTGTGCCCCCTACTGTGCCAACTTGCTGTGCTTTAGCCACCCGGCGCTCCGCTCGTTGTTGTGAGCGTCGCTCCTCCGCCCTCCGTTGTTGTTGGAGGGCGACTGCCTCCAACTGCCCAGTAGCGTCCTTCACGAGCCTCCTCCACTGAGGCCGATCTTGACACCGCTGGTACCAGTCATCGGCAAGTCCACTCAGCTCCACGTCCTCCTGTACCACATCACTCCATCTCTTCTCCAGCCCGTGCCGCGCCCGTCTAGCCCCCTCGATCCGGCCGAACAAAAGCTGTTTAGGCATGCGGTGGCTGGGCATGCGGGCTACATGACCCAGCCAACGCAGCCTTGCCTGCCGGAGGAGCTCACTGATGGGACTTTGCCCAGATCTTTCAAGGATTTGTGAGCTCCTCACACAATCCAGCCTGGTTAAACCCAGGATGGATCGTAGGCAGGCCAGCCTAAATGTTTCCAACCGGCGAAGATGCTCCACCAGGGGGGTCCACGTCTCGCAAGCGTAGAGAACGGAGGGAATGACCGTGGCCGAGAAGACCTGAAGCTTCGTGCGGAGCGACAGACCAGGTAGCTTCCACACAGCGTTACGCAACCGATGAAAAGATATTGCCGCTCGACTGATTCGGAGTGAGACCTCTGCTGATAGACTGGAGCCGGTCATAAGCATACTGCCCAGGTATGGGAAACTCTCCACTCTCTCCACAACTGCCCCATCACCAATTGGGAGTTGTGGGGGTGGAGTGTCCGATGGTACAAAATACCCAGGCAGGTGCTTGGTTTTGGTGGGGCTGATGGTAAGGCCCCACCTCTTAGTGGCACGCTCCAGTCTCAGCAGCAGCGCCTCCAACTCCTCTTCTGAATGAGCAGCTATTACCAAATCATCGGCATACATAACGTGGTTGACCAATAGGGAGCCATCCCTTGATCGCACCCGGGCGTCGATCAGCCTCCCATTATATCTGTACCAAACGGAAATTCCCCCGGTACAGCTATTGAAGGCTTCACGAACTACGCGGTCAAAATAGATGTTAAATAATGTGGGAGCCAGAGGACATCCCTGTCGCACCCCAAGGTGTACAGGGAAAGGCTCCGACTCCCGGCCACGTAGTTTTACCCGGGCCCGCTCACCATCATGAAGGTCCTTAATGATCGTGAGCAGAGGGTCAGGGACTCCGAAAGCACGAAACACACACACACACATAAACACACACAAACACACACACACATAAACATAAACATAAACACACACAAACACACACATAAACACACACA